TATAGGGAATAAAAATCCTTTTTGGTGGAATTTATATCTTTTCCCTGTGCCTTTGAGATGTAAATGTTCTACTTCCGTTCTCTAGGTACCCAGAGCCATTTCTTTGAAATGCAGACTTCAGGGAGGTAATTCTTTTTTTTTTTTTTAATTTTTAAAAATTTTATTTTGTTACGTTAATCACCATACAATACATCATTAGTTTTTGATGTAGTGTTCCATGATTCATTGTTTGCGTATAACACCCAGTGCTCCATTCAATACATGCCCTCTTTAATACCCATCACCAGGCTAACCCATCTCCCCACACCCTTCCCTTCTAGAACCCTCAGTTTGTTTCTCAGAGTCCATAGTCTCTCATGGTTTGTCTCCCCCTCCGGTTTCCCCCCTTCACTTAATTCTTATCAGAAGGGACAAAAAGAACCTGGGGTTGGGGGTAGGGGCACTGCTTGGAAACTAGGAGAAAGTTATATACTAAGTTAGGTTAAATGATGAATATTCATGAATATCTACATCATTTCCAAATAAGATAAAATACTAGAATACTAATTATTGAACTTAAGTTTATTTACTTTTGGCTTTTTATACAGAGTAACTAAGGATGTTTGAGTCTATCGGGAAGTATGTTTTGTGCCACACTGAGAAATTTGCTACGAGGAAGGACACACTACTAGAAATTATGAAATTTATAAATTTGCCAGTCCACGGAATACCAGTTTAACAGTCCACAATTGGTTGCTTCTCTGTTTTCATAAGAAATTCAGGACTCCAAGGGTTAAGAATTCTAATTAATATATGTAATTAAAACTACTTAAAAATAGTAAGGGTGAAAGGAAACATCTGTATGAAAAGCAAGGAAGGAATGTCGAATGTGTTTTTTATTTTTATTTATGTGTAAATTTCTTGTAAAGTTTATTTGAATAATCTCTACACACAACATGGGGGCTCGAACTCACACCCCGAGATCAAGAGTTGCATGCTCCACCGACTGAGCCGGCCAGGCGCCCCTTATAATTTTTAATATACCTCAGTTTATTGTTTAGCACTATGCTGAAGGTGGGGTGTGGAGCCCCAGAACTTTGATCGCGGTGCTGCTCCTCTGGGAGCTCCTCAGGACATGCTAATTTTACAGAAAACGTACAACTCTCCCAGACTTGGGAGATGAGTTTCCTGGCTACGGATGGCAGTCTGCAGTAAGTTCTGCCTATTTATGTGACCTTTTGTGTATTGACTAATTTTACTTAGTAATCTAGAGTTTTTTAATTCTTGATCACATTAATTCCAAACACCTCCCGTGGAACGTATATACTTGTAGTTTTAATGAAGCCTTTCTTCTTGCGTTTTGGAAATGGTTAAGTTTTCTCGAAAATGACAGGGAAAATTCAGCTTTCTTATCCCATTTCCTTCCTCTGTCCCACCCTCCACATCAAAAAAGAAAATATAATAAAAAAGGCAACAGGAAATCGCCTTTCATCTCCCCAGCACCAACATTCTAGGTTTTGAACCAGAGTGTGTTTTTCTTGTTTTATCTGGAAAATCTGCACATATTTATGCATCCTCCTTTATAAAAAATAAGGGGTTTCTCAGGCTCTTAAAACCAAACTCTATAATACTTTTTGATGAAAGTGCCAGCAGAAGCAGAGCTGGGAAGATGCCCTGCAAGTGTTACAGATGGAAAGGATTAGGCAGTTGTGTGGTGCTGGTGCTAAGGATCCAACAGACCTTCAGCAGAGCGCAAAACCCTAAAGAGAGAAGGTGAAGGCTTTTCAGTTATTTGTAGTTACTAACAATGTTCCTAATTGTTAGTGTGTTGTACTTACATACTAACAAGCACTTTCGAGTAAACATCCGTGGGACTAATTTTTGGGGGTGCGTGTGTGGGGAGGACTTGTTGCTCCTATCTATGATTCTGATAGCAGGCTGAGCTGAGGCTGGGCTTTCTATCCATAGATAGCTCTGATGCTGAGGGCTGGAGGTCAGGTTCAAAGTGTGGCGGAACAGTCAGCCACTCTCGCGGGCTGGGAGGGATGCGCAATCCTCGGATGAACTGCTCCGAGCACCTACGACATACAGGGAGCGTTCAGGTGTGGTGCGAAACGCAGACTTGGTTAGGATCTCAACTCTGCTGCTTTTTAAGCCTGGAGACTCTGGACAGGTTACCCTGAGTCTGTTTTCAAATCTGTAAAATGTAGCTGGTACCACCTTGCAAGGTTTTTTGTGAGGACTAACAATATACAGAGATTGTAGGAGAAACAGAACCAGTAGGAGATCTATGTATATGCACACACACACAATCCTACTTCAGCGGCATAGGATCATATACAATCTTACTTTCACTGCAGCACTGTACAGACCAGAAAATCAGCCGTCTCCAACCCTGAGCTCTTTGCAGCACTCTTTCCATCGATAAATGTGGGTGCACCCTGCCCTACCTTGAAGGCTGTTATGAGGAATAAATGAGGACGTATGTTCGTTTATTAATTTCATTCAGTAAAGTTGCGTCCTTTGTGCCAGGCACCGTGCTAGACAGAGGGGCTACGTGTAGGCAGAGGGTGCTCTGAGATGTGGCATAAGGGGTGGGCAGGGACCGGATCTCCCAAGGCTTGGGAGACCACGGTAAGTTTCAGGTTTTGTTCTACAGGCCTTGGGAGGTATAGCACTGTGCCCGCTACAAAGTGAGCACCTGATACATGTTTGTTTGTTCCTGAGCACCACCACCAGCATGTCCTGTTAGAAATTCAAGTTCCGGGCGCTTGGGTGGCTCAGTCGTTAAGCGTCTGCCTTCAGCTCAGGTCATGATCCCAGGGTCCTGGGATTGAGCCCCCCATCGGGCTCCCTGCTCAGCGGGAAGCCTGCTTCTCCCTCTCCCACTCCCCCTGCTTGTGTTCCCCCTCTTGCTGTGTCTCTGTCAAATAGATAAAATAAAATCTTAAAAAAAAAAAAAGAAATTCAAGTTTAACATATCTAATATCAAACCCAGATATCTTTGCTCTCTAATCCTTCCCTCTGAGTGCTTCTTTCCAAAGCACCTAGTTCTTCCTCTCTCTAGATTAGACAATTCAATTATCTCTAATTCTTCATTCTCTTTTGTTTCCTTTCTGCCAATTTGTTTTTTTAATTGTCTCATATTTGATCCTGAGCTAAGGACTTTATCTTGCTGAGCCTATTTCTTCCTCTCTGAAATGGGGATAATACCTTGTAAGAGGATTAAATGAGCTAAATGCGTGTAAATTGTTTAGCATGTGTCTAGCATGTAGCAAAAACTTAAAAGATTGGCTCTTCTCATGGTTAAGAATTGGAAATACATACTAAAAGGAAGTTTTTCTGCTTGAAAAAAAGTGACTTTGGTCTACCTCATCAGACTCATGTTTAAGCTCAAATTTGATGCTTATTTATTCCAAACTCCATTCTGCTAACAGGGTAAGGCCCAGGACTCTTAAAAAGTAGATATTCGGGGCGCCTGGGTGGCTCAGTTGGTTAAGCGACTGCCTTCGGCTCAGGTCATGATCCTGGAGTCCCGGGATCGAGTCCCGCATCGGGCTCCCTGCTCAGCAGGGGTCTGCTTCTCCCTCTGACCCTCCTCCCTCTCGTGCTGTCTCTCATTCTCTCTCTCTCAAATAAATAAATAAAATCTTTAAAAAAAAAAAAAAAGTAGATATTCAAGTTCCTTGAGGTAGCTGCCCTACCTTCCAGCTTTTTTACCTCCTACCTCACAGGCCAAACTAAAGCAGTTAGTATTATATAAATAGTCCTCTTGGTTTATCACCAGTGTTTGCTGTTGCCACTCTCTCTGCCTGGAATATCCTAGGCCTTTCCACGAAATTCTCTTCTACTAGTTATATATTATTCTACCTGGCAAGTATTCAGTGACTACTATGTCCTAGCACTGTTCTAAGTACTTGGAATACACTTGTGTGAATAAGACAAAGCACCTGCCCTCAAAACCTATGCAGAGGCAGGCAAGACAGGCAAATACCATATAACACACAAACATATTTTAATATATAAAACAAACATATATACCACATGTCAGGTATTGGTGAAGACAACATACATCCACATTCCTTCTATCCAAGTATGAACTCAAAGGCTGGAACCAGGTCTTATGCAAAATCTTTGTATCCTCTTATAGTATCTTATATTTGGAGATGCTTGATATTTTTGAATAAATAATATTCTGGAGATTTTTTTATACTGTCAAATATTAAATTGCTAAAGAGTAACAGGAGCTGCATTTGAATTCAACAAAATGAGGTCACCTGTACCTGCCTGTGCACCATTCCGCTGTTGAGAACTTACAGTTTACCTTTATAAGGTTAAAGAAAAGATAATGTTGTCTTATGTTCAAATGGTAGATTTTTTTTTCTGGCCAAACATGCGTATTTTTATAATGGTCTGACGTTCAAAGTACAAGCTCAGAGATGGGAGTCTTTTTTTTTTTTTTTAAGATTTTATTTACTTACTTGAGAGAGAGTGCAAGAGAGAGGGACAGCATGAACGGGGCGGGGAGGGCAGGGGGAGAGGGAGAGGCAGGCTTCCCACCGAGCAGGGAGCCCGATGCAGGGCTCGATCCCAGGACCCTGGGATCAGGGCCAGAGCCAAAGGCAGACGCTTAACCGTCTGAGCCACCCAGGTGCCCCTGAGTTGGGGAGTCTAAAATCCAAATGGTTACTCTGCAAATCCCTTAGCCTTAATTACACAAATGCAAAATGGGACAACTAAGAGTACATACCATATAGGGTTATCAGTGAGAATTCAAATGAGTTCCTGGTATATAGTAAGTACTTAATGATAATTAGCTTTATGTTATTATGGGGTGGGAATAGGCTTAATTTGTTTTCAATATCCATGGACACTTGTGTGAGAATGTCTGTAGTTCAGGAATCTTCAGAAAGAGAAGTGAGTAATTTGGAACAAAGACTTAAAAAAAAATTACAATTTGATAATTGAAAAAAAAAAAGAACATTTGATAAGAATTTAAAGAATCCAGAAGAGATCCAAGCTTTCCTCTGACCAGATTTATTGAGCATAAGAAAATTCTATGTACAAAGTGACCTGGACCTGGTGTTTCAAAACATGATCCTTTCTTACTAATATTTGGATAAGTCAGTCCATTGACTGTCAAAAAGCAGCTAACTCTAAAATTAACAGAAATGTGCCCAATACACACTAAATAAATGGCCTAACTACTGGGACTTTCACAGTTCTACAAGATCATTTACACAGGTAGGATGGAGCCCTGGTGACAGGCTGCTGGAGAACTGCTATGAGCCGTCAAGAGGCCATCTTGTGGACCGCCACGGTGATGCCATCATGTTTCTGGATCATAATGTTCCTGAAAGGCAAAGCGGAAGATAGTCAGTAAAATGTTGTAAGTGGGAGTCTGTTGAAGATTAAAGATGCTGTGTGGTTTAGGATACAACTAAAAAAATATTATTTATCATTTTTTTAATGTATGAAAGCAATATATGAACACAAGAAAACATTGGGGAAATACGGAAAAGTATAAAATATACAAATGAAATGAATCTATAATCCTACTGCTCAAAGACAGCCACTACTGTGTTTTGTTATCTGCATGTATACCATACATGCATTTTTTTTTCTCTTTGTACAAAACTGTGATCATACTGTGCACAGTTCTGTATTCTGCTTTCATCATTTACTATTATTCTGAGGATGCTCACTTGGAATATCTTTAGTATTTCTATTACTACAGAAGTAGTTTCTGTTCTTTGGTTGGTCTTCCCCTGTACTATTTATTACTTTCTTTTTCTTGATAGACTGATAGTCATGACAATTCTTACTCTTCATTTAAATAATTGTGGTCCTGAAAGTACATTAGCTTCAGAGATCAGTCTATTTCCTCCTATGGTCCAAAGAGTGAAGAACCTCCCTCCAAGTTTTTTGAATGGAAATCGCTAATAACACAGGGCAGGCCCCACTCAACCTTCCCAGGAACTTTTCTAATTAAAAAAGAAAGGATCTGTCAACATCTACTCACCCATTATCTGATTCTAGACACACCACAGGAATATCAGTGGGGTCTGAGGTCAGCTTAGCTGCTTGCTGGGCTAGAACAGATATCACTCCAGCGTGCTCATCTGACAGGGTCCCACGGCCTGGAAGACAGATGTAATCATGTCACCTGATTGTCCAAAAATGAGTACTGAGCTATAGTAGTATCTCTCATTGATTTATTCACAAAAAGAAGGCTCAGTTCATGGTCTTTTAGGTTAGGTACTGACATGAAATGATTTTATCCTGCTACTAAGCTGGTTACATAAACAAGAAAGCCAGACAACAGTTCTTAAATCAATAAAGCGTCAGGAGACACTCAATTTTCAATCACTCTCATCACACTCTCTAAACACCTTCTCACACATATAAGGAAGCTCTAATTCAAGTCAATCTGAAAGCCATAAATTCCTTTTACCGGAAGCTTAGTGAAACCAACAAGACACTCAGAGGTGAAGTTGACAAAAAGCAGTCAGTAAGGGCAAGAGACTTGTGAAACTAATTAATTCCTCATGGGAAATCTGATTTCCTTTTAGTGAGCTCAACCTCAAAGGATACAAAAGTCTTTACTCAGGAGTTCAGCTGTAAAATCACTTTGACAGTATACGTGAATATTCTGTGAGCAGTTATTTCAACTAGAATAAGCTGGGTGTTTTCAAATACAAACTTAACTGGCTTTTGTTAATGTCTGTTTTAGCCTGTGGATAATAACTAAATCTTGGGTGCCCAATACAAAAGGTAATTACTAAGTTTACACTATATTTCCACATATAAAGGCAGCAGAAGCTCGCCTGCCTGGAACTGTGGCAGGTAACAGACACACCAGTATGGCAGAGTCTGTGGATTTACTACGGTTACATAAAATGGTAACTGGACAGACCGTGCAGTCTTTTGGGCTTTGAAGGTTTCTTGAAGGAGCTTATTTCATTTTAGATTTCCACACCTGAATTTCAGGCTTTCCATCAACCAGCAGCTCAAGTAAATCTGCCTTTTTTCTCCCAACTAAAGGATTTGTGTAAAATCTGAGTTACACAGATTACCTCTTTCAGTTACCCTCCCAGCAGAAATTCAGAGCTTTAAAATTCCTGTAGTAAAGAGGAGCAAGGAGGTAGGAGTCCTTGGTTTATGAGTTCTGACATGAATTAGCTGCATGCTTTAGTTACTTACCTTTCAGGATTTATCTCCTCATCTGTAACGCTTACCATTTATTGAGCATCATGTCTGGGTTCTGGGCTGAGTGTTTCACACACAGTACATAATCTTACAGCACCGTGACTAGGAGGTTTTGGAGCCTGACTGAAATCCTAGCTCAACCCTAGCTCTATGACCTGGGGCAAGTCACTCAACCTCAATTTCTTCATCTGCCTCACAGGGTTGTTACAAGGATTAAATGACCTAGAGTTTGGGTAAAGCACTTAGAATGGTGCTTCGCACATAGCTGGCGCTCAATAAACGCAATTCTATAATTACTATCGTTATTAAATAACAACCCAGTACGGAGATCCTGGGTTGGCATGGCCTTGGCAGCTCGTGTCCTTTCCACCCATGTCAGCCAAGTGCCCTAGACCTTTGCTGCCCAACACCCCTTCGCTGGCCAAGGCCTGGCTGCTCAGCACCACCCTGTGCCCCATGGAGGCCCGCACGAGGGCTGCGCCTGCGCACGCGGCCTCGGTGCTCAAGCAGGGTCCGGGCAGTACACAGGTGGGCTGTCTGTATGGTGGTGCACCTCCTCTGATGTGAGAGGGAATCAAGGACCATATTCTTTACCAAAAAAAAAAAGTCTTAAAACTCAATGACAAGATTGACCCAGAAAAGCTCTAGGTAAATTCCCATTTGATGAAAGACCAAATGGCTTAAACAGTTTGGACCAAGTGGAGATTATTATATTGGCCATGGAGGACGACTCTGGGTTTGAAATTCCTGATACAGATATGGAGAAGTTAATGTGTCCACAAGAAATTGTATATTACATTGCAGATAAGAAGGATGTATATGAATAAAATGTCAGACCCCCCTTTTTCACTTAGAGAAGACAAGGAAGATACTGGTGAGTGTCTGGAAGTGACAATGTGTTTGGCATTATTGCTGACTTTGACAGAGTCATTCTGTTTAGACTTGTATTTAAATTGTCTAAGAGTTTTTGCCCTTTGAAAATAAATCTATACAGCCAACCAACAGAAACAACCCAGTAGAGAAACTAAGGCTAAGAAAGGCTATTTTTGGTCTAAGGTCACACTATTAGCAAAGGAAGAGCAGGGGGCTGAACCCAAGTGTGTTCAGCTCTGAAGCTCCCACTTCTACCGCCTACTCTCTTACTGTTAGGTGTAGTTGGACTACAAAATAGCACTGTCTATTTTGCTGGGTTATTGTGAAAATTAGAGATAAAGTACACAAACCCTAGCAGTCTGCACACATTCAACAAATGGTACCTGACTGATGTCATTATCTCAAGTCCTTCCTAGACCCAATTTAAAATAATTCAAATACTATTTTAGTAGAAACAATTTTGTACTGTTAGAACTGCAAGGACCACTTCTACCTTCATAAATACCAACTGAAAAGTTTCAGTTTTGGAGATAAACTCGACTCTCACAAAAGTACCCAGAAAGGGGCAGGATAACAGGAAGTACAAACTAGAGAACAGCACACACACTAGGCTCCCGGTCAATATCAAGTGCTCTGCAATCCACCAAAGAGTTGATCGTGAGATACTTACAGCCCAGATTCAGTCCTTGTGAATCTGTGCACAGGACTCCAACAATGGATGGATTCTTCATTCTAATTCCAGGAGCACCAGAGGAATGACGCAGAATGATGTCAGAAAATGAATTTAAATAATTATAACAACACATATACGTTTTTCTATGTACCAGGCACTGTCGCGCTTTAAACCAGTGTTTCTTTTTTCATTATCACCCCCGCTGAGAAAAATTAAATTACAATGAAGTAATTTAAATTTAAGAGTTAAACCAATTTATATCTGATGGGAGAAAAGACTGGGTCAGGTACTGGAGAGCTTTGGAGGGCCACAAATATGGCAATATTAATATTTATTTATTTATTTATTTATTTATTTTAAAGATTTTTATTTATTTATTTGACAGAGAAAGACACAGCGAGAGAGGGAACACAAGCAGGGGGAGTGGGAGAGGGAGAAGGAGAAGCAGACTCCCTGCCGAGCAGGGAGCCCGATGCGGGACTCGATCCAGGGACTCCGGGATCATGACCTGAGCCGAAGGCAGTCGCTTAACCAACTGAGCCACCCAGGCGCCCGGCAATATTAATATTTTGTCGCCATTGTTAAAGATGCGGAAAACACTAACACGGGTTGCCTCCAGGAGGGGAAGTGGGAGAAACTGAGCGGCACTGGTGGGAGGGAGCTGTTTCCCTGTGCGCCTTCTTACACTTTCAATTTTATACTTTAGGTGGATATTACCTGTTCAGAAATTTAAGAGATGTCTTTCATTTCCTTAAGCACCAAGTAACTGGCTACACACGCGAGGACAGACGTGTGTGCTTATGTTTACATTGCAGGGCTCGCTTTGCACACCCGTACAACCTTCCCCCAAATTAACCCATTTCCTAAAACTCCCGAAGAATGACCCTGCCGTACAGACGACTGCAACACGACGGGCGGTTTTGGCCTTGGCCTTGGGCTGCGGAGACCAGCTCCCGGAAGAGGGTGCGGAGCCCCGGCGGGATTGCGGGATTTTAATTCCCGGCCACCCGCGGCACCCCGCGGCCGCGGGACAGCGTTCGCCGCCTCAACCCCGCCCCCCCGCCCCCGCTTCCCCGACCCGAGGGTCGCGCGGCGTCCCCAGCACGCCCGGCCGGCACTCGCAGCGCGCGCCCTGTGTCCCGCTCAAGTCCCCGCGCCGCGCTACTCACGTATCCTCCAAGTGCTGCTCCAAGGTGGCCTCCATCCCGCGCGTCCTCCGCCGGGGCCCGGATCCCGCAGCTCTCGTCGCCTCCTTCTCCGCCCCGGGCCCGGAGCGCGTCTCGCTCACATGACTCGAGCCGGGCGCAGAGGGGGACGGCGCCTCCAAAGGGACAAACTTCGCCGGGCGACCTCCGCGTTGTGTTGGGACGAGATCGTGCCGCCGCCGCCGCCCGGAGCCGCAACCGGGTGGCGCGAGTAATTCTCGCGGGGGGGAGAGGTGTGCAGCGGGGCTGCAGGGCCTCGGTTCCGGCCTGGCACTGCGTCTCAGCGATGTCAACCTTTGGATTCCCCTTCAGCCGATTCCGAGACCTTCAGACCAGACCTTGTGTGCGTTTTGCAATAACCGGGCGGGTCAGACAGGGTCAGATCCAGGCGGTGCGGCAGGGACAGAGAGCGACGCAGGACCCTGGTGCAGGGCTGCACAGGCGTGTAGGGGAGGTGACATGCACGCAGGGGCCTGAGGACCACCTGGAACACGGTGAAAACCCCAAGCTAGATATTGGGAAGTGTAGGGATTTTAACGAAGACCTTGGTTCTTGCTTTGGCGAGGGCGCAGGAAAAGTTTGGGGAAGAAGGTGTCCCCTGCAAAGAAGACTGGGTAGGACTACTTAAAAATAACTTTAAAAGAGCAGTTGTGAAATAAGGAGAGAAAGCCACCCACAGTCTGTCCAGAGAGGATTTAAAATCCCTTGAGAGAGGCACCTGGGTGGCTCAGTCAGTTCAGTGTCAGACTTCTGCTGGGGTCATGATCTTGGGGTCCTGGGAGCCAGCCTCACGTTGGGCTCCCCGCTCACTGGGGAGTCTGCTTGTCCCTGTCCCTCTCCCTCTGCCCGTTCCCCGCTCATGCTCTCTCTCTCAAATAAATTAATAAAATCTTAAAAAAACAAAAACAAAAAAAACCACTTGGAGAATATCCTTTCAGCCCATTGCCTGCAAATGTATGCTTTTATTTATTTTTTTCTTTTTTAGGCAAAATTGACACATAATGGACATGCATTTCTGTAGCTGGCCTTTTCCACAGAACTTAGCATAAATGTCTTTCCATGTCAATAAGTATTCAAATGAATACTTTGTGGTATGCATCCCTTGTGGTAGTTACAAAATATTCCATAATATAGTTGTACCATAAATGATTTAATTAATCCCTTATTAATATCCAGTTAGTCGGTTTTTGGTTTAGAGGCGGTGGGGGGGGGGTATTACAAATGCTGGGTGAATATCTCTGTAGCTAAATATTTGTGCACGCTAACATTTTTTTTATGATAAATAAATTCCATTACTAGAATGGAATTACTGGGTCAAAGGATATGTCCCTAGCTGTGATAGTGAAACTTGCAGCTTCCTTAAAATTCTAGTCTTGAATGTTGTAATTCAGGAGTTTCGGACTTCTGCCTAGAAAAACTATTTATGTTAACATAGTATGGACCATTTAAATTTTAGAAAAAGCAGCTTAAAACTACCTTTAAAAGTCGGCTTCCCTCCGAAGTTCTGCGGGACAAAGCGTGACTCTGCGGTAGCGCCCCCTATGTGTTGTCAAGCTTAACTGGACTAGGGCTTCTCAGCTCCCGCTTTGTAAGCTCCCGGGCCAGGCCATCCTAGAGAGCTATAACTTGAGCCACATTTGTAGTTTTGAATAATCTAGCCACACTAAAAAAAGTAAAACAGGTGAAATTATATTTAATGGTATATTTTTTCTATCCAACTAATGTGTCCAAAATATTGTTATTTCAACATGCAATCAATTTGAAAATACTAATGAGATATTTTACATTTTCTGCCCCCGCACTAAGTCTTCAAAAGTCGGTGCATATTTTTCACAGCACATTTCAATTCAGCCTGGCCACACTTCAAGTGTTCAATAGCCACGTGTGGCTATGGGCTGCCATGTTGGCTAATGCAGCTCCCGGGTATCTCTGATTATCTCAAAGCCAGATTGATGATTCAAGTGTTCTCAGAAAAGCTGGTGATTGCTTTTCAGGCTATAGGAAAGGCCTCTCAAGGGAAAATGAGCAAGTAGGAAGAGGATGACCGCTGGCCCACGCGTCCTTGCCACACCGGAGGCAGGAGGGCAGACTACTCCACACTACCCCTCTTTCTCTGCCCTGTTGCTGTTTGCCCCTACGAGGTGGCATGTGTATAGGCTGGGGAGGTGCAGGGGGTTGGTGAGACGGTTGGAGGAGTGCTTGACCCCACACTGTTTTCTACTTTCATGAGTTGGTGGGGGGTATTGACGATTCTTTTTCTCAGTTTTGAGTGCTGATATCCGTTTCTAGGGTAGCAGGAAAAGTCCTGCTACATTCAAGTACTTGCCTCATTGCATTGTAATTCTTTATATGTTTACTTTTTTCAAAGGTTAAGTATCCTCTCCATTTCTGCATCCTGAGCATTGTGGAATGCAATGAGGATTCAATATTTATTGAAGAATCTTGCTGGGTCTTTTGGGAAAGGAACTCTCTGTCGTGTTAAGAACCTTTAAGTTGTGGGGTACGTGGCTGGCTCAGTTGGAGGAGTGTACGACTCTTGATCTTGGGGCTGTGAGTTCGAGCCCCACGTTGGGTGTAGAGATTACTTAAAAAAAGAAGAAAAAGCTTTAAGTTCCAAACTTTTGCCACATTTATCCTCTTCTTTCTCCTCTTCTCCATAAACAAGCTCTTGGAAAATGGAAGTCCCAGGAGAGTCCAGCAGAGAATGGCCCACATGTCTTGACTGGGAAGTTGGAGGTGAGAAGCATGGTTGGGGGAACCAGACCTTCTAGGTCCTCTCTCTGCTGTTGGCCCCAAAGACCCTAGCTCCTCTTCCTTGGCCTATCAGGAGCAGAATCCTCCTGGGGGGTCCACTGAAGAAGCACAGCTCGGGTAGAGGGTCTAGTTCTCCCTTGGGTGCACAGGGCCTGCTACCCCGGGGCCAGCCCTGTTGGTCACTTTGTCAAGTGCTCAATGTCCCATGGAATGAGTCTGAAACCTGGCTGGGGAATGGGCCCTCTTAAGCCACTAGGGAGCACCACGGCCATGGAAAACCCTGCTCAGGCTAGAGGATTCCAGGTGAAGGAAAGGGATCCATGGATCTGCTGAGCTGGTACAGCTTAGTGAGGGCAGCATTAGGCTTTTGAGTCAGACAGAGGCAGAGTTCTTGACCTGTCTACCTGTGTGACCTCTGAGCTTCAGGGGCTCCTCTGTGATTTGAGCGTACCTTGAACTGCCTCCTGAGGTTGTGGGGACGATTATATGAGATGCTTTACCTCAGAGGAACTGGTACACTGTGGGAGTCAGTAAATCAGCTCTGCTAAATCTGAGCAAAAAGTCCTGTTTGTTTCCTCAAATTGTTTACACTCTAGGTGAGGACACGCATGAGAAAATAAGGAACAGTTCAATGAAGGTCAGAGCCAAACGCTGAGGCATACCTCCAGGAGTCTAGTTCATGGGGGAGGGAGGTCGAGGGCTGGATTTACACAGCTACTCTGCAGAGCTGTGTTAAATGCCCTAATCAAATATGGTTTTTTAAAAGATTTTATTTATTTATTTGACAGAGAGAGATAGAGAGCGAGAGCACATGCATGGGGAGTTGCAGGCAGAGGGAGAGGGAGAAGCAGGATCCTCCTCACTGAGCAGGGAGCCCGATGTGGGGCTCGATCCCAGGACCCCGGGATCGTGACCTGAGACGAAGGTAGATGCTTAACGCTTAACCGACTGAGCCATTCAGGTGCCCCTGAATATGGTTTATGACACTTTTGTATGGTATAAAAATTATAAAACACAGTGAGAGGAAAAATCACTTGAAATCCTAGCCCTAACCCGAATGACACGAATGTGAATGAGCTAAATAGAATGGGACAGGATTTGGGTAAGGTGGAGCCGGGAAAAGGCATATCACAAGGGTCACCAGAGTGTTGGGGCTAAAGCATCTCACTCCATGGGAGCCACTGGATGGGACACTGGGTCCCTGCCTTCTGACAATGGACGCCACCGGAGAGCTGAGTCCGAGATCCAAAGCCTGACCGCAGTAATAATACCATTCACGGGTCACGTGCATGAGTGACAACTGTGTTCCGGGCAATCCACGGGCCTTATTAATCCTCATAGCCTTTTTTGGTTTTTGTTTTATTTCGTTTTTAGTAGAATATTTATGTTCTGTATTTTTTAAAGTTTTTTGTTTTTTGTTTTTTGTTTTTTTTAAATTCCAGTATGGTTAACACACAGTATAATATTAGTTTCGGGTGTACAATACAGTGATTCAATACTTCCATACAGCACCCGGTGCTCATTACAACAAGAGGTCTCCTCAGTCCCCATCACCTATTTAACCCATCCGTCCACCCACCTCCCCTCTGGTAAGCATCAGATTGTTCTCTATAGTGAGGTCTCTTTCTTGGTTTCTCTTTGCCTCTCTCTTATTTTTTTTCCCCTTTGCTTGTTATGTTTCTTCAATTCCACATATGAATGAAATCATACGGTACTTGTCTTTCTCTGACTTATTCTGCTTAGCATAATACTCTGGCTCCATCCACATCCTTGCAAATGGCAAGATTTCCTTCTTTTTGTGGCTGAGTGATATTCCATTGTCCAGTCCTCACAACTTTTTGAAGTAGCTCCTGTCACTCTCCCCATTTCCCAGTTAAAACCCCCTGAGGCTCAGAAGGTCAGTGCTTGCTCAGGATCACCCTAGTTGTAAGTCGTGGAGCCATACCATGGACTTCCCTACTACATGGCCTCAATTTCTCTCATTTCGTCAGCAACACGATCCTGGAAAGGTAAGAGGGCTTTGGAGGCCCCATCCAGATCTCCTGCTCTCTGGAGGAGAGATCTGAGGCTCAGAGAGGGGAAGTGGCTAATTTAGAACTTGAACTTCAGACTCTTCACCTTCCACCCAGGGCTCTAACTATATTGTGCTGCTGGAGGCTGTTTTAGACCTTTCTTTCTTTCTTTTTTTTTTTTTTTTTAAAGATTTTATTTATTTATTTATAGGACAGAGAGAGACACAGCGAGAGAGGGAACACAAGCAGGGGAAGTGGGAGAGGGAGAAGCAGGCTTCCCGCCGAGCAGGGAGCCCGATGTGGGGCTCGATCCCAGGACCCTGGGATCATGACCTGAGCTGAAGGCAGACGCTTAACACTTGAGCCACCTAGGCGCCCCTAGACCTTTCTTTAAAACAACTTCAGAGACGTTCATTGTTACA